ATAACGGTTTTAATATTAAATGTCTCTCTTTTTTTATAAAATATATATTTAACATAAATACATCAAATGTCTGTCTAGAAGCCGAATCTGTACATTAAATATTTTTTGGAAAACCTAATTGAAATAGACATTATTATCGATACAGTCCGAATCTACAGTTTTTAGAATTTTTGTCTGTCTGTCTGTCCGTTACCGCATCACAGAAAAACCACTGGAGAGATTTTGATGAAATTCGGAATGGTGATAGCTGGTTATCCGGGTCAACATATAGGATACTTTTTACCGCGGGAAAAGATCTCATTTCTGAGAAAAAATACAAAAACTGCAATGTAAGAGTACGAGTATACTAATATGTAAAATCTAAGAATTTGGTTTTTGGTCATCTGAACACGGGCGGAGCCGCGCGGGCAATGCTAGTATCCCATAAAACCAAGCAATCTATCGCGGTCTCTTTACGTAGAAATAATTTATGGCATCGTGATGTTCCCATGGAGACGTTGGAATTGGGATATAAGTGATCTAAAAATCTATAGACATCTGAGTACAACCTAGCTTTGTACGTATCTGCAGACAGATTTACTGTTAAAGTACTGTTTAGTCTATCCAATCTACTTATATTAATATTATAAAGTTGAAGAGATTGTTTGTTTTTTTTTGTAACGCGATAATCTCTGGAACTGACAATTTGAATATTATTCGCATTCATGAAATTTTATAGACATACATATATTATAATGAAATAACGCAAGCAGAGCCGCGGGTATATACTAGTAAACAATATAATATACCTGTTAAACGTACCTAATTATTGTATTTTATTACATTTGCGTATGTAACGCTGCAAATTTTATGAAAAAAACTAGCGGCTCACCTTCGCTTCGCTCGGGTTCGTCGCTAGGTACGTGTTAAATAGATATAAATAGTTATTACCCAGCGTTAGCCATATACATTTTAATTTTTTTTTGTTAATAATATTGACAAATATTGACATTAATATTTATACGACACTAACGTCACTCAATTGTTTTGCCTTCCCGGAACCTCTCCACTAACACTTTAAACTTCATAGTATGGTATTAAAGTTCAAATTGATTTTTAAGTATTATTACAAATCTTTTGTATGGGAGTATAGAAAAGTGTTGTTTTTAGACTTTATCAGGCAATTTTTTAAATTTTTCTCTCCCTAAGAACCATTCTCGTACTTCAAGGAATATTCTAAAAAAAGAATTAGCGAAATCGGTTCAGCTGCTCTTGAGATTTGCGCTTAGCAACACATTCAGCGATTCATTTTTATATTTATTAAAAAACTTGCGTCTCACCCTCGCTCGCTCGGGTTCGTACCTAGATTGCTTCCCCATACAATCTTTCATTCCCTTTAGGAATTTCCGGGATAAAAACTATGCTATGTCCTCCCAGGTCTGAAACTATCTTCTTATCAAATTTCATCTAAATCGATTCAGTAGATCCAGAGATTACCCCCTACAACGTCACAAACTCACAAACTTTACCTTTTTATAATATCAGTATAGAAGTATAAATAAACATTATAAAAGGTTTCATTTTGAAGGTTCCAAAGGTCAAGACAATCTAGTGTATAAAATAACATAATCTGTAACCAAATACTACTCTATATAGTCATTTACATATTATGACAATTATTAAAATAGCTTAAAAAAATAAGGAAGTCGGCATGGGCTTGTACATACATATATTATGCTTCTTTTCGTAAATTTTATTGGAAAATTATTTCGAGGTAGAAATTCTCGTTTAAAAAAAAAATATCTAGTGAATTAGCAACATTGATTTACACGTGTTCTTTGTATATGGGAACAATTTATATGAATACATATTACAAAGTTATAGTGTGTGTTTGTTTGAACGTGCTATCTCTAGTTACTAGATTAGAAAATTCTTTTTACATTTTATATTTTTTTTAAATACAAAAATAAAATTTTATGTTATACTAGAAACTGAAACTCGCTCCGCTCGGGTTCGTTCCTACGTTACGTTTTAACGTTTAGTGTAGATTTCTCAGAGATATTTTCCCGCCGTAAAAAGTATCCTATATGTTGACCCGGATAACCAGCTACCATCATACCAAATTTCATCAAAATACCTCGAGTGGTTTTTCCGTGATGCGGTAACAGACAGACAGACAGACAGACAGACAGACAGACAAAAATTCTAATAACTGTAGAGTCTATCTTTTCGGATTATTTCGCGGATTTATTTTGATTTTTGGTTCCCGACGTTTCGAATGCTATTAAATAAATCTAAGAAAGTATTATCTGTAGAGTCAGCCTCTACATCGATAATAATGTCTATTTCAATAAAATTTTCCAAAAAATATTTAATGTACAGATTCGGCTTAGTTACAATTTTACTATATGTATAGATTTTATTAAGGAATTATAGATTATCTCTCATCGCGCTATGAAACGCAGAGCCGTAGCCAAAAGTTAGTCGCATAATAATTGCGATACACAAATACATTTAAGATAGAGGGATGGGTTCTTATTCAAAAAACAGTAGTCCTTACTTCTTATACTTCTCCTGTAGACTTTTTTTGCGAAAGAACATAAACTTAAAAATCTGCTATATAAAGTACTAGCGACTTATCGTCGCTTCGGGTTCGTGTCTAGACAAAAACAAATCTATCCCACGGGAACCGAACATTTTTCCGGGATGATATATAGCCTTCCTCAACAAACGGGTTATCTAATGCAATAATAATGTGTCAAATCGAATTAGTAGTTCCTGAGATTAGCGCGTTCAAACAAATAAACAAACAAACAACTATACCTCTTTATATTATATAAGTGTCGATTTTCATTGGTTTAAACATATGATATGGCCAGACCATATTTTAATCGCCTACAATACAAAATCCTCTTTTTATCTTGGTATTTATGGCCAAAAGATATAAAAGATATCATTTTTTAAAACATTTGTAAAAATAAAAATGGCTTTAAAAATCAATTGTAAACTTTATCGATTAATATATCTCCATTTTCCTTTGATAAATGTTCATAGTTAAGTGGTACTTAACCATTAATATTTGAAGCGTTATCTTGATGTGTTTTAAACAATGCTATCTGAGAGGAGAGAATGGCAATTGGAAAATAACGAGTGTTCTCGTTTCTAGCTGTGCACTGGGGATTTGCATGGGTAATTTATGATATAAGGGCTCCCACACACTGTAGACATTTAATAAAATTGTAAGACAGTTTAATTGAGTCCATAACCGTATGCAAGTACGCACATAATGAGCCTGTACTTGATAGATTTGTTTCGCTATATTTTCATACTGATTGTCCAAAGCATATGTCAAAGGAAGTAAAGGCAAAGTCGCCTTGAATTGACCGCTTCTAATAATATAGCGATTTTCTGTGGTTTTGTTTTTGCTATTTTATTATAATGTGCAAGGAAAAAATCGTTTTAGAAAAAAATTGACTACGTCAATACAAAATAATTGTGTGTTCTAAATTTATTCCAAAATATATCAGAAAATTACATTAAAACTTTGAGTAATACTATATAAAATGTTTTCAAAGAAAACAATATGGAATATGCATATTACAAGACTACAATAATGATACTAAATTAGATGTGTAGGTCATCGGGTCCTTTCCGCGATAAACAATAGCATTCCCAAGGAGTGTTGACGTCAGGCAGGCGGCCGGTCGTAAAACTTTTGCCAAATCCTATCAGCAGTACAGAATATGTACTGCGCCGACCCCAAGTGATTGGGAAATGGGCAGGGAGATGATGATTATAAAGTGCAATAACCCTGTTGAAAAACACTAATAGAATCCCATCAAAAGGGACAAAAGCCACATAGAAACCAATAAATATTTATATGTGGCTTTTGTCGCCTTTGATGGGATCCTATTGGAGTTTTTAAATAGGGAAAGTCTATTATTTTTGTGAACATGACTACCCATAGAAAGATAGATACAGGCCAATAGAAAGTCCCCAGTCTGTGGGAGCACTTAGTGACCGCTGCAATTCCGCCCGCATTAGATATGCCCACATACTAACAATATTAAGCTTTTTGTATGAGTCCAATTAATGATTATTGAATCGAAATTATTTTATTAAACTACTTAATGTAATAAAAACCTATATAAATGTTTTGTTAATATTGATTAACTCTCACTTCGCCCGAGTGCATCCATAAGTTACTAACGGTAGCTGTGTTATTCCAGGCCATACATATCTGTGTATTAAATTTCATGCAAATCCATGCAACTGTTTCAGCATAAAGGAGTCATAAACATACACAATGGTTCAATATAAAGATGAACTAATACAGATTTATTATGATATTTTAATTTACATTTTTCCTATTGAAATCTATTAAAATAAAATGCCTCCACTATGAGTTTTAGAAATAACATATGACTAGATTACAAAATCATGCCCATATTCCGCAATATGTTAGTACTAAAGCTGTGTTTTTGTCAGCTAAGTAAATGGTAGTAGAGTGTCAGCTAAGTACACTTAAATAAAAAGTATTTGAAAGGGAAATTATTTAGCAACAATACTTGAGATTTTATTATAATACAATTACTTATATATATTAATTCAATTATCTTGTTTATGTATTTAAGCAAACACATGATAAATAAAGCAATTTTAAATTATGCTATCATTAATCAAATTTAAATTAATAATAGCGTAATTTCATTGCAGATTTTTGGACTAATCTGATAACTACTTCTAGCCGTAATAACTGACAACCAGTAGTTTTTCAATATATGGTCTATTTTACATAGTGGCATAATGAGCAGTCTAAGTCAAAACCAAACCAATAAACACTGTCGCATTTATATTTAAATATAATAATAATGCACATTTCAGACACGTTATCCATTACACTATTTCATTTATAACATATAATTGTGACTCGACAACTTATTCTGCTTTCCGTCCTTTACTCAAGATAATTATGACTAATACTTGAGAAATAAATTTAGTAGCAAGAAATGACTTTTTACCTGTTTGGTTATATGAGATGTTTTATTATATGCCTCTTCTAGTTTTGGGTTTGGTGGTGGTTTTCTAGGTTTTGTTCCTTTGATTCCTAAATACTGACCAAAAGGAGCATACAAATACCTAAAACAAACAAATTGTATTAACATCTGACTTAGATGAATTAACTACATGCCTAATACACATATTGTTCACTGAACTATGCGTCTTTGCGCTTGTATGGTTTGTCAATAAATAGTTTATATGAATACAGAACAGTATAGCTTTCTAAAATAGTTTTTTTTTTTTTTAAATTAGTTCAATATTTCAAAAGATTATCCCATATATGACATCGAATTAAGAATATTTTGTCCTTAAAAAAGTATTAAGATACTAAAATAAAAAACATCTGAATTACTGCATAATAAATAAAAGCCAAATATTTACATAACAACTTAAATGAAGAAATGTAACCTTTTTATATTAATATACCAGCAAAATGAAGTTGAAGTTATGAGAAGATATGAAACATACAGATAAGAATATATAAATTGGCAAAATTATTCTTGTTACTTCTGCAAAATCTTTACAATTCGCATGCACATGTACTTTCTAAGTTTATGACAATTAAAATATTTTTTTTAAATAAAGATAGAGTATTATAGTAAGACCGTATAATTTGTTTAATGTGACTAAGTTTTTACAACATTTTATCAATAAAAATTTATATTTATTAAACATTAATTAAACATATTAAACATTTATACATATTAAACATTAAACTTTTTTATTTGAGTTTAAACTCTAATAAATAAAAAAGATATCAATCTAACTAAATAAAATTAGAGATTTTTCAAGTATAAAACAGGTTTAGCATAATAAAATAAAAAAGTCTGTCAGGCATATTTTTAAAAAGAATTATTATTTCTGAATCATCATTCATCATTATCATTAAATGGATTTTTACAATTAAAAAGGAATTTATGTATCAAGTAGCAATGAGAAAATGATATCTTATCAGTAAAATCCATAATATGGTATGATTTACTTCCTACATAGTTTAGTAATTTAATCTGCCTACTTAACATATTTTTAAATGATTTCATCACCTTGTATTGTTAAGTTTCATATTTTTTTAATATCTAAATATTTTTTATTTTTATTTCCTGTTATTTATTTCTTAAGTAAATACTTATAAGCATATTCTTAATTATTTATATAAGGTTATAAATAAATTTTTAATAATATATTAGAAAATATTAGGCCTAATGTGTCAAGATAACAACAATATATTGTGACAGTTTGTTGTACATGATAAGATATTAAAATTACTATCTATGTAAAACCAACGCATGTTTCAAAGGGAAAAATATGTAATGTTTACACGATAGCGTTGTGTAATATTGTAGCTAATAAAATAATATTTTTTATTAGAACCGAGATAAATATTAATCGATAATAATATTAATAAAAATTCTTGATAGCGCAAAAAAAGTTATGACTCAATGTAGGTACCGTTTACGCCCCCGAAAACTAAATGCGTGACGATGCCCCAATTGTTCATAGGTTAAACTCTTACCTCTCTAATATATAACGTAGAGTTATGAAAACCAGCGCTAACGGTATAGGGAAGAAGACATGCCGATGATCGGTATATACTACTGCCTTATCGGGCCCGGGCGCGAGGTCCGACCAGGTAGTATTAGGCGGTAACCACACATCTTCATTCCAAAATGCATCCAAAAACGGCCGAATCATTGTGTATTTTTTACAAATATCGCACAGGCACTCTAAATCTAGTATTCAAATAGAATTTTATTTTTACAACTATATCCATCAACTGCTACTAATTTGATTTAATGACGGACGGAGCGCGGACCGCTGACCGCGGAGGTGCCGTGAATGTCACAGATAATGTAAATTGTAATATAACTATATGTCAAAAAGCATAGCATACAGATTCATAATACTTTTGAATAAAGATAATACATAAAAATAAACGCTGTGTATATACACATATATATTTATATCATAATAAATATATATATATATATATATATATATATATATATATATATATATATATATATATATATATATAATTCTTCTGTACGTGTGTTTGTTAACCTACTCCTTTAAAATAGCTGGACCGATTTAGTTGAAATTTTATGCGTATATTGCACCTACCCTACCCCAGCCTGCAAATTTATGATATTCGCAATGAAAAAAATACTAATCGATAGATTTTTAATAGCTCAATTCAACTACGTAGCCCTTCCAAATTGCTCACCATTAATTATAAAATTTAAAAATCAATAAAGTCCTTGAAAAAAAAAAATTCATTATCCGTATATTCAAATTTCTATATCTTTTGATATATACAATATTTTTTAAATTGCTCAAAGTTCTAAAGTACTGCTCAAGTTGCATTTGTGTAATTGCTCAAGTAGAGTTTCTCACCAGCTCCACTTTCCTTAATTATTAAATAAAATATAAATAGTTTGAATAAATTTAACGTATAGATAGGTGAGTGCTGCGCATGCGCGCAAAACAGTAACGCGAGTCGCAAGGCAAAAAAATCAAGTGTGTTTCATAACCTCATCATACATAAATGGCCGGGTAAACGGACCACAACTGGACCCCGCTAAGAAAAACATGAAACATCGCCGCTAAATTAATCAGGAAAAAGAGGACGGTACTAAGGGCTCTAATGAGATGGAGTCAAAGAGTGAGACGAAGCTGTTGAAAATGAGATGGAACATCCGAGAGGCGATCAGCTCAGCATCAAGAGATGGAATGTTTGTGGCGCTTCCAGGGAGCTAAAAAGGATCGTAGCAGTATTATTAAATTATTGATTGCTGATCAGAGTTGCAAAATTCCCTTTATATTAAAGGCAGTTTATATTCATGCAGTTTGTTTCTTTGAAATAAAAAATGTCATTAAACTATATGTATATTTAAAAATAAAAAAAGGACCGTCTTGTATTGATGTTTTAATAACATTTTTACTAATGATCCCTGTCATGGCTATTACTTAATAGAATAAGCATTTGAACATAAGATTTTGTCTTAATTTATCTGTTGGTATTAATTTTCATTTATTGGTAGATTTCAGATCTGTTCTTTATGTTATAATATCTGAAGTGGAATCACGTAATGTGAACAATTCATAAATTCACAATAAATTTAAAGAAATCCACCGAGAAAACAGAATTAAGACGTTTGAATTGGAACGATTGTCCAAGCCCGCCGAGGCCGACCGACAATGCGCGGTGCGCATGCGCACGCTCACATAACCTACGTTACATTTTATTACAACTATACTTTTAATTATTTAATAATCAGCGAAAGTGGAGCTGGTAAAAACTCTACTTGAGCAATTACAAATGCAACTTGAGCAGTGTTTTAGAACTTTGAGCAATTTGAAATATTGTATACATCAAAAGATATAGGAGTTTGAATATACAGATAAATTAATTTTTTCAAAGACTTTTATTGATTTTTAATTAAATAATTAAAGGTGAGCAATTTGAAAGGGCTACGTAGTTAAATTGAGCTATTGAAAATCTATCGATTAGTATTTTTTTCATTGCACATATCATAAATTTGCAGGCTGGGGTAGGGTAGGTGTATATTGCAATGGGTTTCTGGATGGTTTGAAAAAACAAATGGACCCAGTAGGTGGCGCTGCAGTCTATGTGCCACTGATCATCTTTTAAACGGAAAGAACGATTTTAATTATATTTTCTGTGTATGTTCAAGTGAGTCCCTGCAAGGTCTGGAAATACAAATGGACCCGATAGGTGGCGCTGCAGTCAGTGTGCCACTGATCATCTTCTAACTGCGGCAGAGACGATTTTAATGATATTTTTTGTATATGTTTGAGTGGGTTTCGGCAAGGTTTGAATTCACAAATGGATCCGGTAGGTGGCGCTATAGTCGGTGTGTCACTAAATTTTCATAAAATACTACATTTTCCGAGCAAAAAATAAATTTAAATTGTTGATTAAATAAAATAAAAATCGATGTGTGTATGTATGTTCCCTATGGACTTCAAAATATATATATATATATATATATATATATATATATATATATATCATTGTAAATATTTATTAATACTTTCTTAATTATATGTTTGCTTCGTAAAGATATGACTATATAAAGTCGGAGGATATATTTTTATACATCAAGTATATTATAGTTAATTACGTTGGAATAATAACAGACTAATTTCCATATGGCTATTGCTTCATCGCTCATCGATCTTAAAGGAAATCATTGTGACTAGGTATTATATACCAACAATTTTATTTTTATAATTATTATTTATTGTTAAAATTCTGTTGTAGTACATTCGTACCGAAAAAGCTAAACTCTCAAATTAGGATCACACGTCTTGTAAAGCTTATATGCCCATCTGTTGAAAGTTGAATCATCATCTTGTTGAAAGGACAAACTTAAAAAATCTCAATCAAATGAAAGTTACATATCTTTAATATTGAAAAATATAAGTATAGAAAAAAATATTTCGTATATTACTTTATGATGTCGAGAAAAAACTAAAAAGACTTGACACATCCAAGGGCGCCGGTCCTGATAATATCCATCCTGTGTTTATATCGCGTTGCGCAACCAAACTGTCTTTTCCTTTGCATTTGATCTATAGCACTTCTCTGAGAACAGGAGTGTTCCCGGTTAAATGGAAGGAAGCAAGAATAGTACCAGTATTAAAAGGTGGGAATGCAGAATCTATAGAGAATTATCGTCCTATCTCGATTTTGTCAACTGCGTCAAAAGTCTTTGAGAGTCTAGTGCATCAATATTTGCTTAGTATGGTGAGACATAATCTAAGTCAGGATCAACATGGTTTTATGTCAGGAAGATCTTCTAACACTAATCTTATATCTTATATTAGTGAAATCACAGAAGTTATCGATGGTGGAGATCAAATAGACGCTATTTACACAGATTTCTCAAAGGCATTTGACAAAGTTAACCATAACATATTAATTGAACGATTAAAGTCTTTTAATGTAACCGATGCTTTAATATGCTGGTGTGAGTCGTATCTACGTTTAAGATCGTCTACTGTTGTAATCGATGGATTTCAGTCGGTTTCATTTACGGCTAACTCTGGTGTACCACAGGGATCAATTTTGGGACCTATATTGTTTAATATCTTTATAGATAATATAACAAACATTTTCAAGTACTCAAAAATATATATGTATGCCGATGACCTAAAGATGATTCGAAAAATCCAAACTTATGATGACGCGATATATTTACAAAATGACTTAGATGAACTATATAAATGGTGTAAGGCTAATAAAATGAATCTAAATGCAAAAAAATGTCATTACATCCAGTTTACACGTAAAAATAAAAAGATAAATTATGAATATAAAATATCGAATTTAACTATAGCCCAAGTGGATGTTATCTGCGACTTAGGGGTGTTCTTGGATTCTAAATTGCAATTTACTTCACATATAGATTATGTCTCGAAAGTAGCTTATAAGTCATTAGGGTTTGTTCTCAGACATGCAAAGGAATTCCATAAAATCACAACTGTATTATTGCTTTTTAATTGTTTTGTCCGAAGCAGATTGGAATATTGTTCTGTTGTTTGGTCGCCTCAATACAATGTCCATGTTGATAGAATTGAACGTATTCAAAAAAAGTTTTTGAAGTTCGTAACATATTGGTTCAGGTTTCCTAATTGCTGCACAGGATATGAAAGCAAACTAAAGCATATTCGTCAGCTATCTCTAAACGCAAGAAGAAAGCTTTTAGATCTAATGTTTCTATCCAAGCTGCTAAATAACAGAATCGATTGCCCGACTCTACTGTCGAAAGTAAATTTTAATTTACCAGTGAGAACTTCTAGAAAGCAAATTGCCCTCTTTCGAATTAATAAACATAAAACGAACCTAGGAAAAAATGCGCCACTTAACCGAATAGCTAGAACCTATAATGGCATTACTTCGGAAAATAGGGGGGTAGACATTTTGCATGACACATTTAACGCCTTTAAAAATTTTTTTTATTGCTATCTTGATCAAATTCAATATCAATCTACCTTTCTTTAAAAAAAAAACGTTATTAATTTGATTGCATGCTGTTTCTCAATTTTTAATTTTTATGCTATAAATATAAATATAATAGGTACATATTAATTGTTTAATTATTTAATTGATTTTTTTGTCTTAAAATTATATATTTTTTAATTTGTAATTTTATTGAATTATTTTTTTTTAATTAAATTGGAATTATTGTTATACTATTAATTTATACTAATGTGATAGCCTGTTAAAGTTAGCAAGTTGTAACTACCTATAATTAAAAGTGCAATTATCATGATAAATTATATGTAACCTAAGTTTAAGTATTATAATATTGTAACTTTTGTTGGTAGTTCAATAAATAAATAAATAAATATAAAATAATAATTTAAGAAGTTCTGCTCAATGCGCTAGGGAAATGTGTCCTGAGCTCTGAAGGCTGAAAGTTCTATAGAATGAGACGTTCCGTCCAAAGAGACAGCTGGCAGCACTATACAGAAATCTTCTCAGTCGAGATTCACACACATAAAAAATCTTTAGTTTATATGTACTCGGTCATATCTGTACCTCGGTAAAAACAAGAAAATGTAGTTATAATTAAGAAAAACATAGTCATCAACACCAACCGTTTTAAATGGAAAAAAAATTAAAAAATTGGTTTAATTGGTTTTAAGGCGGCCTTACATCTATAGTAGAGTTCGATTATTATATCCACCATGCACCAATATACTTTGTTTTCTTAATTAATCCATTTAAATCAATCAAATAACCACTATAATAATTATACTAAATTTCTCAGGTACCACTTTTTTTTAAATCATGTAGCGAAAAAATAAAACAAGACAGTAATATTGTAATGCTTTTTATATTACCTTTCAACATTTTGGTCGCATACAAAAACATAATACATATTGTGCATAACAAAGCTCACCCATCCCATACTCGTACATATTACATTGCACAACACTGTACATATTCACAACACTTAAAACATCTTTTAATACAAAGTAACATAAAATGATGATAAAAAAAAAACAGAAATGAGAAGCACCTTTGCTCGTACTAAAAAACGCATAATTTTTACTAAAATAAAAAAAATGCAAACAAAATATAATTTCAATTTTTTATCAAATACATACATATTTTTCAAGATAAAACCAATAAGAAATATAAAAGAAAACAATTAATTTACTGTTTGTTATCAAAAACGCATTATCATTTCCAAACAGATCTGACATTCCTCAACATTTTTTTTTAATATTCACTGTACTTTTAATTAATCTCAATGAACGTGTTAGGTTTTAGGCTCATATATAAATTAAAAAAAAAGTCCATTCATTCATAGCATTTTCGCTTCACATGATATATAAAAAAATATAATTTAGTAATGAGCCTAAATCCTACTTGCTTATTCTAAATAATTGTAATAATCTGATTTGAAAGGCACAAAAATTACGCGCATCGACAACAATAATTGTACTGATGACTTGATACAAGTTTCACAGCAATTCTTTACAGCAATTACATTTGTAATATCTCTCTCTTATACAATCTTCATGTCTTAAGCCTTTTTTATTCATAATTTTTAACACTTGAAGAAAAAGGTTTAAAAGAAAACTTAATATGTACTTTGCTATTAAAAACATCTTGCTATGTTTTTATATCAGAACAAGTATAACATAGATTTACAAAACATAACATTTTTCATAGTAACGAAATATTGTTAGTAATCTACAGCTGTTGTGTACATGTCGATATGTGACGATATATATATGAATTATTTGATAACATTATAATAGCCTAATTTTTTGGAATTTTTGTTTTAAAATAAATTAATGAAACTGGAATTTTTACAATTTTTTTTTCTCAAATAATGACAAAAAACTATTATAACAAAAATAACATAGACATATAGCGTTAAACATTAATTTTACCTTGGCTTTAATGCATTTTATTAATAAACTATCTTTAGAAAATGATAGCAATACGTTTTTATATTCTTTTTAACATTAACAAGAGAATCAGAAATTGAAAACCATGCTAATACTTTCTTTTTCGGATTTATTTTGTTTTTTGGTTCTCCATTCTACGTGACGTTGGCGAAGAAATCTGTGCTAAACTGGCACGCTTTGAAGCCATTAACAAGAAAATTTAATTAAATTTGATTTTTGGTTCCAGTGACCATAATTGCTGTGAAGCATTCGGACCGTCGGAAAAACCAAAAATCAAAATAAATCGGCGAAAAAAATCCGTTTTATTTAAATTGCCATGCTAATTGAAATATTTTTTTTTTATATCTATTAGTCTACGGTTTTGATAATATAAAAACAATTATTATTAACTTAAAAAAGCGTCTTTGGGTGTTTGCATAACATGTAACCTACTTACAGTGCAATTTATGTACAATATATTAAATGATATGGATCTTTAATATGTTTTTCTAGATATATCTACTATTTTTATTCGACATCGGACTTCAAACGAAATTTTTATTATTTAACTATTCAATAAAAAACAATATATAATTATTACAAAAACATTTTAATTATTATGAATATTGTGAAGTGAAGTGCATAAATAAATTATTTTAATCTATGTATATAAATATATAATAAATAACAACAATCCGATGTCAGTCGCCATACCAAACAACACAGTGCACACCTGTAACACTCCCGTGGCAAGACCAGTACAATACCTAGCAACAGAAACAACAGAATAAAAAAAAGAAAACCACAGTAATTTAGAAAAAAATAAGCTTAATTTTATTCGTCTTAATTATTTTTTTTCATCTTTGGTATTGAAGAGACCCCAAAAAAATATTTATATTAAATTATAATTTTAATTTCGATTTGAGACTGTTAGGTATAAAATGTGTTGTTTTATTTTTGTTCAACTTCATTTTACTATAGTACTTCTTTACATTACTGTTCCTTTAACATGTTAATTTAACATAAAAATACTTTAGATATTGAAAGAACCTCTTCCTTTTTGGAACTCGGTTAATAAAAAGAAAATATAAAAAGTAATTTTCACAAACAAAAAACTAAAATATAGGAACTTTTTGAAATTATAATATTGTAGATATTAATAAAGGAACTTATATAGACTTTAATTTTATTATGAAGGTATTTTAATCACTCGTCATTACCACGCCAGTGTTAAGAGTATAAGTTAATACTAAATAAAGATTATTATTACCCTATCTAATATAACTATGTATAACAATTAAATCATTTATATTGGCTAGTGGAGCAAGATGTCAAATTCGAAGAAGGAATGGTGTCAATTTTTTTATTAGAAAATTAATTTCTAAGTTATAATAAATACATTAAAAAAACGGCTAAAACTAAAAAAAATAATGCTTATTTTTATTACTAGTGAATCTCTTCGAATAAGGCTTGATCCACACGATCGATTTAAATAAAAGTAAATATAAAATCTATCAAAAGTGCGAATCATTTCCAACATGATTATCACTTGTCTTACGGTGAAGGAAAACATCGTGAGAAAACCTGCATGTTTCTCAACTTAGCAAGTTTTCGAAAGACATGTGAAATCCGCCAATCCGCACTTGGCCAGCGTGGTGGACTATGGCCTGATCCCTCTCATATTGAAGGGAGGCCCACCCCCAGCAGTGAAATCTCACTAATTAATTTTGATTTTATCCACAATACATAAAATCGTTCGTAGTAAGCCTAAAATGTTTCATTTTTTAATTTAACACTAATTCCATATTTGAATTTGACACCATAACCTAAAACCTTTGGAGAAGGTAACCAGAATTTTTTCAACTAAACAATTTAAAAGTAAATTAGTGTTTATATTACTGAAACCTACATGCTTGCTAAAACAATATAAATAGAATAATTCAATTAAAAATAAAATGTTAGTGTGGAAGATACGTTTACATTATTAAATAAGGTACAATTTGTTCTGTGCGATACGCTTATTAGTTAATATGTTAGTGTCATAAGAAATCTCACAAACTAAATGTAAGGCGGCGTTCATATAATATAAGGAAATCTACCAAAATGGTATAAAAATACTACCAAAATTAATGTTTATTGCGAATTACTTAATAATCTAAAGTATGGTCCCAAATCGCATACGACGAAATGTCGACCATAAAAAATAAATGCACAACATTAAAGGAACATTTTTCTATCTAACGTGACGTTTAATCACCATTTTGGAACAATTTTTTGGGAATAATTTCAATATGATATATGTAAAAAAAAAATATTTTTCTATGTTATGTGTAAAATTTTGGGACTATATTTTTTTTAAATATTAAAGATTAATATGGCTTTAACACTTTGGTTAAGAAATTTTAGCTAACGATAAGCAGTCGTGTTATGAAGAAAAATTTTAAGAAATTGAAGCAATATTTCAAATAAAGTAATTATAAAAATATTAAGACATAAGCAGCGTTACAGTGTTGTGTGTTACAGTAATGAAAAGAATAATTGGTAGCATTTATTCTTATATTAGAAATCCAATATTTAAAGGCCAAACGTTAAATATTCATTAAGAGAAAAAAGTATAAAATATCGCTATATTATTTTAGTTTCTAAGCCAGACTAGAAGTACATAATGCCTTAAGCTCTCGACGTAAGCAAAAAAAAGGGCGGATTTCGCGCCAAAAATATAAAAAAAAACAAAATTAAGTATTTGACAAATGAGCCTTACAAAAATAATTGCAATACGTAATACTTAGAATTTAAAATATAAAGAGTAAGCGCATATTGTAGACTATCGATTTCTTTTATGTCTACATATAATCGACAAATAGTCTGCAATATGCGCCAGCTTTATAACAACACGTGACGATACCTGATGGTATTTAATTTAGCATAAATTTTATCAACTTTCACAAACTGCCAATTGTTTTTGTAACAAGGGTCCGAGTATCCGATATTTGTATGTCAAGTAACACTTGACACAAAGCTGCTGACCCCTATGTGTCTCTGGAAAAAAAAAAATGTCATTGCTCAGTCAAAACATTTAATAATTAAATAGAAATCGAAATTACAAATTATATATAATAATAAGGCAGTGGTAGCCCAGTGGTAACGCTCTCGCTTGGGAAACCGAGTGAAGCGGGTTCAAATCCCGGGTCTCGCACCTCTGATATTTTCATGTGCGAATCATTTCTAACATGATTACCACTTGCCTTACGGTGAAGGAAAACATCGTGAGGAAACCTGCATGTCTGAGAGAACTTAGCAAGTTTTCGAAAGACATGTGAAGTCCGCCAACCCGCACTTGGCCAGCGTGGTGGACTATGGCCTGATCCCCCTCGTATTGAAGGGAAGCCCGTGCCCAGCAGTGGGACGTTAAAAGGTCTGAATACATATAATAATATTCAAGTCAAAAAAAATTTTTTTCAAAGATGGCGAAGTCAGAAATTATAAAGATAGTCACGACATTGATTTTGATAAAAGTTAAAAATGCATTAACTGTAACGTTAACGTACGTCCATACAGAAATCTTATAATTTTACATTGTTGTATAAAAAAATGTTCAATTTTCTCAAACCGGCCTTCACTGTTACAGATAGGCAAGAAAAATGTAATAAACCCACTTTAAAAGGAATAATTTCAGTCCTATTTAATATAATAATACTTGAAAACACCAAGATATTTTTTCTATATAATCTATATATTAAAACAAAGAACAATAATAATCAGCGAGAATATCGCTTATCATGGAGAATCCCCCTTACGCCGGACAGTAGGTAGAAATCAAAATATCAAACTCAACGGACGTCAATCTCGTCCAATGCGATCTATAGGTGACATGTTAAGGAGTCTGCCCACTACACCGTGTCATACCATGACCGTGCACGGACTAGTATACCCACTAGACCGTATCAACAACGTATCATACCCGTACATAACGGTTTTAGTGCTGCGTATGCTCACCATCCAACTCCTACGACGTCGGGTGCCAGGCACGGAGCGTACCGGCACCAGCAAAATATTCTCTCCGACAATTGTTGCTGCTCCGTGCACGGCACGCGACGATGCCGGCCCGGTGACGGAACGGTCTAGTGGGCAGTCTCCTAATTTTCAATACAAAGAATACTTTTTTCCTGACACGGTCTTAGCACGGTCATGGTATGAAACGGTGTAGGGGGCAGACACCTTTGATCCTTTTGCGCAGGAATTCGTTGCGTCGAATAATACTCAGAACGTCATATATTATATTTAGAGTGAATGAATTTTTTGTGGTGCTTTTGTTTCAATAATTGGTAAGTACGCTTTATATTGATACTCCTTTTTTTGGCGGATTTATTAATAAACTTTATCCGAATCGAAATTATACTACTCGAAATTATTCCTCTAAGTCCGGACAGCAACAGATTCCCTAGTACCGGACAAGTATATTCTGACAAAATAATGCTGCTTGTTCTATTCTGTATAATCTTTTAATTATTATTTATCTTTTTAGATCATTTGAAATAACGAAGACGAAGAAACAAGGTATCTAGAGCTAAAACAACTTAAAATTAGCAATTGATAATGTTTTAAAATAGAAGATGGCTATAAGAGAAGCTTCCGAGCATTTTAAAGTACCAAAAAGCACTTTATTTGATAAAACTAAAGTAAAACCTACAGGAAAGAAGCTGGAGAAGTATTATTGTGTTGTTTGTTGCAAAGACCACAACAAAGACTAGATCCAGTGCGGAGAGTGTAAAGGATGGGCTCATGAAGCCTGTGCGGATATCCCAGAATGTTCAGGCGTCTATATTTGTGATCGTTGTCAAAAAATTTAAAATTTTCTTGAGACTACTATTATCTCCATGTTTAATTATTTTCTTGAAAGCTATTCAATAATTTCTTATCCGTAGTTAAAAGGCTTCTCATCTATACTAATATTATAGAGGTAAAGTTTGTGAGTTTGTGACGTTGTAAGGAGTAATCTCTGGATCTACTGAACCGATTTAGATGAAATTAAACTAGTATAGAATTTGGTAAGAAGATAGCTTAAAACCCTGGGACAATAGGATAGGATATTTTTTATGCCAGAAATCAATGGTGAAAATGGGAATGAAAGTTTGTACTGGGAAGCAAGCTATGGACGAACCCGAGTGAAGTGAGGGTGAGTTTTTACTTTTGTTGGATTATTTGAATATTTATAATGATTATGTGATTTATGGCTTCTTTTGTAATAATGTAATATTATTGTGTAACTTTAAATTTTTGTAAGCCTACAAGTGCCCGGTCCTGTCCGGTCTTAAGTATTTGAAGTTAAACTTGTCCGGTATTAGGTAAAAAAGTCAATGAAACTAAAAACTAATGATTAAATCCTATTCGAGTGATTAAGAACAAATAATACTAATCATTGTTAATTTATTTTAATGTCAAATATGATTGTTTAAATGAAAATGTTAAGTATTTAAATAAAACATAATTATTCAATTTTTGTTTATTAAAAACCTTAAGTGTCCGGTACGGGGGGGACTCCCCCTACATACATACAAAAAATATATTCAAACTTCATTTTTTTTATTTTTGGTTAAAAAATACCCATAACAGTATAAAACCGAAAACCCCCTTAAATAAACAATATATTTAATTCACTTTTCATTCAAAGTTACCTCAATATTTATTTATCTATAACCGCATATTTTTATGTAAATACTGGTAAATAATAACTAACTTTTTATTAATGAGTCTGTTTGGTGTGCTGTGGTTGGAGTGGTGCGAGCTGTCGCTCACTTCTGAGCTAGAACTTCTAATATCACCTTCCATCTGAAATAAACGAAATAAAAATATACTAACAAAAGACGTGTGTGTGTGTACTTATGTACACACGTAAGAAGTTATATTTTTTTGGCGTAACAGAACAAAAATAGCTAAAGAATTCATCCCGTATGTCACAAGTCTCTGTTTGTAAAAGGAATGCAGCAAACTGTCAAACATGTCGCTTTTTGACTGTCGGTGCGCGCGCGCATCGTAAAAATTTTACTCTCATAATTTTTTCGACATGTGCCAAAAGAAGTATAACATCAAAAATAAATACATCACGAATAAAAAACTTTCAGTCAATTTTATTAAGGAGCCGTTCATAAAATACGTCACGCTAAAATCAGTTTTTACCCCCCCCCCCCTATTGTCACGCTTCGTCACACTTTCTGTGACCCCCCTAGAAATATTTCGTCACAAAAACTAAGACAGAGTATGATAAATTTTAAATGACAGTACACAAATTTTGTGAATTAAAAATATTTATTTAGTTATTATAATAAAATTTCAATAAATCAAGATATTTATCTTTTATAAAGAACATATATGTCGAAAAATAATGAACGGCGAACGTCACGTTGCCGTAGACCCCCCCGTCCCCCCTTGCCACACTTAGCAAGACCCCCCTTGAATGCGAACGTATTTTATGAACGGCCTAGGGGCCGTCTTAGGCCCATCTTAGGAGATGGGCCTTATCAAAACGAATCAAACAAGGAACAAGCACTAACATTATTTTTTATCGCGGCAACACGTTGTACGACTTCATATCCCGAGACCCAGGATTGAGTCCCGGATCGGGCAAAGTGCACTTGTGTTTGCGAATACACTTGTGCACTATAATATGTCCTGCGCATCTGGCTAGTCTCAATAAGATTGGCCGCCGTGGCCGACATCGGTCAGGACGACATTTTTACACGAGTACGGGGCTAGTGCCCAGGGTGGCAAACTTTGAGGGGCGGCGAAATTCGAACCATAAAAAAAAAGATCCGAGATATGATATAGAATATGTTTTATTTATTTTCCACAAAACGAATATAAAAAAAATATCTGGTAATTTTTTTGAAAAATTGAAAACATTTACCAATTATTTTCTTGTATTTATCAAAAATTAATAATTAAAAACATTTAACTTTGTCCATTTTATTTACAAATTTCGATAATGGGGTAGCATTTCTTACATTGCCCAGGAGCGGTGTTAAGGTTGAATCCGGCACTGAGTACGAGAACACTACGTGCGAAGCGACAATAGTAACAGCGCCAAGCAATCAGTTCTAAGCCCATACATTAATATTACTAGGCAATTTTTATCAGTCGGCCAGTTAGCACCGACTTCGAAAGTATCTGATTAGTTACGAGTATCTATTCTAAATAAAAACCTCCGTTTAGTTATTTTTTACATTTTAGTGCCTGGAAGTTGGTTTCTATTATTATTTTTTTAAGTTTTTATTGTTTGTATCTTTATCTTGGTGTACAATAAAGTGTAATTGAATATGGGGGCAAACACAATGTTTACTTTTGTTTGTCAAAAACTACTAATATATTGAAAAAAAAAATGCCTCAACCCTAAGAAGAACTGCTAAAAGAAACTCATCATTTTAAATTTTTCTTTATAAAATTATAAAAAAAGAACAATTTCTAATATGCATCATTAAAAGAGCCCAAAGAGCGATCACATCGTTCCCAACGCGTGCTATCTTCCAGAAAATCATTTGTTTAACAAACAATCTTTAACATATTTTTTCAAATACATCAACAATGGGCTTGTTATAATAAGAATTTAACAATTACCTTAACACCCCCAGGTAAATTTCTAAGAAATTGATTAAAATTCTAAGAAGTCTATTGTTAACTGACACGCCGGCGAGTCGGTGGAGGGATTAAAAAAAGTTTCGACGAATAATCGTATTCGACGATAAAAAGTACCCTATGTCCTTCCCAGGGTTTCAAACTATCTTCTTACCAAATTTCATCTAAATCGGTTCAGTAGGTCCAGAGATTACCCCCTACAACGTCACAAACTCACAAACTTTACTTCTTTATAATATTAAGAATATAAATTCTAAACCCTAGTTCTATTTAAAATAAAAACCTCAAACAAACCTTCCCGGCATTGATGGCTTTATACGCCACCTGCAGTATAAGCCAGGTCCACACCATGTGCAGCCCCAGCAGTAGGCAGAGCAGCGAGTTGAAGAAGTAGTACGCGGCGAACATTGGCAACAACATGGGCGCCCGGATTGATGTGCTGGAATAAATAAATATTTTGGGACGTAAACACACAGCACCATCTAGTTCCATGGTAAGCTACGAGGCTTGTGTTATGGATACCAGATAGTTGATAACACTACACATATATGACTTTTTTAAATACATACATATTATAAATATAAACACCTATAACTGGAATACAAAAAATCGTGCTCATCACACAATTGAATGCCTCCAGCGGGACTCGAACCCGTGACCGCTTCCACAGCAAGTAGGGTCACTACAAACTGAGCCATACGTGTCGTCAAATACATATGTATTGTAATTATATAAAATTAATATTAAAAATGGAAGTGGTAGCTCAGTGGTAACACGCTTGCACGGGAAACCGAGCAAAGCGGGTTCGAATACCAGGTTTCGCACCTATGATATTTTCATGTGCGCATCATTTTCAACATGATTGTGAAGCCCGGCTTGATTTATTGAAGGGAGGCCCGTGTCGTAGTAAGACGTTAAAAAAGGACTGAATACGAATGATGAATATTAAAAGTATTCATTACTAGCGACTCGCCCTCGGTTCGTTCCTAACTTGCTTCCCAAAACAAACTTTCATATGGTCACCCCCTAAGGGATGATTTTCGGGATAAAAAGTACCCTATGTCCTTCCCAGGGTTTCAAACTATCTTCTTACCAAATTTCATCTAAATCGGTTCAGTAGGTCCAGAGATTACCCCCTACAACGTCACAAACTCACAAACTACTTCTTTATAATATTAGTATAAACTAAATTACGCCAAATAAATAAATGTCAAAAACACAAATATAAATGGAAAAACTAACATTCTTTATTGGTCTAGTAACTAGCTGTACGACAGCAGATTCGGAGGTTCTGGGTTCGAGTCACGGGCCTGGCCAAAATAATTAATGGGTTTCTCTGTCACGAATTACTCAGTAGTAGCCTGGAGCTGCAAATGTAATAGCAAGTAAGAAAAATTGTAAACAAGGACTCCGACTCCCACATCGGAGGTGTGTCAGTATAAAATAATAAAAAAAAAAGCCTGGAGCTGCAAATGACCGAAGATTACAAAGCACATTTCGTCCTGTGCCATATCTTTTAGACTTCTACCAATAAAATAAAGAAAAATAAAGAGAGTACACAAGTAAAAAGGTTTAGAAAATATTGATAAACTAGCAGAACCCGCGGCTTCGCTCGCACTAAAACTACAAAAAAATCAGTTCTTGACTATGCTATTAGTAATAACTAATAATGTATGAATCTGCCCGATTTTTTGGCGTTTATGATTACTACTCCGCTCCCTTAGGTAGTAGCTAGATGATATATAGCCTATAGCCTTCTTCAATAAACGGACTATCTAATGGAAAAAGTTTTTTAAATTGGATTAGTAGTTCCTAAGATTAGCGCGTTCAAACAAACAAACAAACAAACAAACAAAGAAACAGACAGACAGATTCTGCCTCTTTATAATATTAGTATAGAGTAAAAATTCTCCAAGTTTAAGTAAACTCACCTCCAAATAATATAGAAAGGATATATTCCTAATCTCGTAACAATCCATAGTACTGTGAAAACTGTGAAAATGGCGTCACATAGTTTTTGATAGTTCGCGTACTTCGCCGCCTTCGCAGCCTAAAATTTAATAAAAAAATAATGTTAGATTATTTAATTCTAATACAAAACATCTGAACAACAAGTATTGAAAAAAAAAATAGATAGAAAAAGAAATGATTCCATAAATAATTTTATGACTAAAACACTTATAATAAACATTTATTTAACAAAAAATATTTTCGAATCACGGTTTTATTGTAATTTTTTGTTCTCGAATATTTTACAGCAAACGTGGACACGGAGACTAAGGTTTTGGATTTTTAATGTCTCAAAAATTATAGTTATAACAAAATAAAACTACGATAAAATCCGAGCAAATAGTTATGTTCAAAAAATTTTTTATATAAAAACTAGCGACTCACCCTCGGTTCGCCCGGGTTCGTCCCTAGATTGATTCCCCATATACACTTTCATCCCCCTTTTCACCCCCTTAAGGGATGATTTCCGGGATAAAAACTATCCTACGTCCTTCCCAGAGTTTCAAACTATTACTTACTTCTTCTTACCAAATTTCATCTAAATCGGTCTAGTGGTTTCGGAACTTATTCGGTACAAACAAAAAAATCTTTCCTCTTTATAATATTAGTATAGAAAAAACAGTACTCGAGACTCGACGAGACTCTTCAATATGAATCCGCCTCCTTAAAAATACATTCATTGCCTAAGTAATGAATGCAAGACGTAAAATAGGTCGTCGAGTTGCGGAAACCAGCCTAAATATAACATACCATAGACAAACGCCCGCATTTTAGTTTTATTGGTTGCGACATTTCATATTATCAGAAGATTGTTTAGTAAAAATTGGATTTGATAAGACGGATTCTCCATATGATTTCCAATTTTTACTCATTTTTACCAATTATTAAGCTGTGATTTGCAAGCCTTTGTGCCGCCTCCAATACATGTTCTAGTCAAAGATGTATCAATCCCTGAAAATCCAAATGTCATTCCTCAGTAGGTACTTCTTCCAGTCATTTTATTTTGTTTTCCTTACATGACATAAGCCTGTGAGACATAGGCTTTTACTATGGAGCTTAGGCACTTAGGAACATAGAGGGTCTTAGAATGAAGGCCAAAAAAGTGAAGGCGACCAAAATCCAAATGGCCTGATTATACAAAAATAACCAAAGGTATCGAAATTACTAGAACCGTTTGCATGGAAAGAAAGTGGGAATATCCTTCTCGCATATGCCCAACGATGGATGTCCTCATATTGAAAAATAAGTCAATACTTTTGTTGGATCATGTATCACTTAAGGAGGCTGCTATTACATTAAATGGCTTTTAACATTACAATCAATTATATTTACACATATGTCGTCACAATCTATAGGTACTCTGTAACAATATGGACAAAATTATTTATTCTTATCACCTAATAATCCTAAAATTCCTGCACTCACCTCTAAAAATATATCAGCACAGTCGTGCACTAAGAGCACGAGGGTGCCGATGCGGTGCAGGTTGCAGACCCAGCTGAAGGAGAGCAGCGCGATGGTGGCGAGGTGGTGCACGAACATCTGCCAGAAGTCCTTGCGTCGCACGTCCCAGAACTGCGACAGCGTCAGCGACCAGTAGAACGCCGCGCTGATCATGTAGTACCACCAGATATCACTCGTCAGCCCCTGTAAAGTTTAACATATATACACAAATTACTCAGAGATAGATAGACTAGAACCTTATTACTCTTCCTCTTTTCTCTTTAATATCATAATTTCCTAAATTATATTTGAAAAGAACTACTTTACTACATTTTAAAATTAAGTTTGTGATTGTTCGCACTAGGTCACTTCTAGAGGCGCATTCTAGTATAGCTAGATTATGATACAAATAATACATAAATTAGGAAAAAGTTACGTAAAAAAGAACATTCCGCTGACATTTGACAAATGTACCAAATATGCAAAAGCGAACAAAAGCACTACTAAATGGTTTTAACAAACTTGACTATTTATACTATATATTATATTAATTATTGAAGTCATACTGCCACTACGGTGATTTTCATTAAAACTGTCCAACCAAGCAATGATATTCAGACGATTTTTTTGCGGTTCCACTTGCATGGTAGGTACTAGGTACATTAGTATACATACCTGATGAGGATATCCAAGATAACACTGATCTATATCCCAGAGCCATTCTTTATCCCATAATATGAACATCCCATACGAGAAGCTATACAGGTAAAAGGTACATCGCCAGGCGTTTTCGCAAAACTTGACGAGTGTGGACGGTTTTTCCTGACTTCTTCTGAGCCTCCACCATCGCTCCACTTGGCGCTCGGACATATCCAGTTTCTTCGCTAGAGCACATATCTGAAATTAACATACTTTTCCTTAATTACCCTTAACTTTTACACCACATAGTCTGTTTCAGTGAGATATATTGTGTTTGTTCGTAGATAGATACTATACTACAAGGCAACCTACATGAGTGCAAGAAGAATAAAGCAACTATGTTACAGCCAGGAACTTAACTAACCTAAGTAATTTTAAATAAATTTTAAATAAAACTATCTTTTCGGATTTTGTCGCGGATTTATTTGCATTTTTGTTTCCCGACGTGTTGATGGAAACAAAAATGCAAATAAATCCGCGACAAAATCCGAAAAGATAGTTTTATATAAAATGTCAAATATTCGCGTAAATCTAAGAAAGTATTATGTAACCTAAGTAAGTTTACACTTTAGATAAAACTAAAGAAATAACCACTAAACTCTAAAAATTATCGTGTCGTACTTTATCATACTATATAATGAATGACACAGGTGTACGATGAAAAAGTCTTTGTAATAATTTCACTTAAAACATATAGATCTTGACCTATTTATTTCAGCTATAAACTTGGTTTTAACATATCGTATTATTTTTTTTTTAGTCTCTTCCGTGACCATGATTGCTGTAAAGCATTCGAAACGTCGGGAACCAAAAATCCAAATAAAAATCCGAAAAGATAGTTTTATTTGAAATTTTTTTTTTTATTTGCATATAATATATATCTCTATTTATTGGTATCAAAGCAGAAAACAATAATTTGTAAAGTATTTCCAAAAAGAGGATAATTTAGTATCTTGCTGTGCTATTAGTCTTTTAAAATATAAATGCATCAAATTAAATGCTTATGAATGGTGACTCTTCAAAACGAAGCATGCAACCTGTTCTCTTGCATATCGGCAATAAAGCACCAATATACCAATAGCTCATTCAGTTTGTCTTGAAGAAATTTATGTAACTTGAAAACAAATGGTTAATTTGCGGTTAACCTAAAAATCATTTGCATATTTTTTGATCAACATCTAACAAAAACCTAGGACTCTGAAAATTTGTTATTCAAAGTTGATTGGATTATTTTCCAAAAAAATCTAGGGGGCCTGAACTGTCAGGTATGAATCGTTTACTCCATCAAGACATAAGACATAGAAAAAAGGTATTAAGGTCGTTGGGACGTCACCATGTTGGTAGAGTATTTGTATGTTTAGACTGTTAGATGGCATAAAGATGAAGTAAAAATTCCTAAATGAAGACCTAGATAGCTTTTTTTTTTCGAACACTAGCGACTCACCCTCACCTCCCCATACAAACTTTCATCCCGATTTTCAACCCCTTAAGGAGTGATTCCGGGTTAAAAACTAAATCGGTTTAGTAGTTTCGGTACAAACAAACAAAAAATATAATCATTCCTCTTTATAATATTAGTATAGATAATATTATTATTTTTTTGCTTTTATTATAAATTTTTGCTTTAATTTGAAAAGTATACGCTAAATAAAACTTTGAAGAATAATTAAAATTAGGTAATTTATTTTTTGTTTTGCACATAATTGCATTCAAAGTTCAAACATAACACCATCTGTATCTGGTTTTAATTTCGTATAAGAACAATTATAACAAATATTAACAGGTCTAGAAAAAAAAGTTATTTCGCAGTCCTGAGTTACTTATGTACAACAAAAAACAAACAAGAATCAACAGTAGGTAATTTTGGTTTATACATATATTAGCGACTAGCGACTCACTCTCGCTTCGCACGGGTTCGTCCCTAGCTTGCTTCCTAATACAACCTTTCATTCCGATTTTCACCCCCTTAAGGGAGGGAGGGAGGCATGGTTTCCGGGATAAAAAGTATCCTATGTCCTTCCCAGGGTCTCAAACTATCTTCTTACCAAAGTTCAGTAGATCCAGAGATTACCCCCTACAACGTCACAAACTCACAAGCTTTACCTCTTTATAATATTAGTATAAATTAATATAAATGTTTAGTTCAAAAAGTTGTAAACTTTTAAACTTTGAATATAAAAAAAAAGAAAAAGTAAAATTACATGCATGTTTTATTTAAGCCCATTCATTGTTATAATTTTCAAACATTTTGAATCCATTGGGTTTTTATATTACTTTTTGTATATACGTATACTAATACATATATGTATTAGACACCTCGTGTGGAACGAAGCACATAGAGTATAAAAACTAAAAAGAAAAAGACTTCCAGGCACTAAAATATAAAAAATAACTAAACGGGGGTTTTCATTTAGAATAGATACTTAAATATTTTCGAAGTCGGTGTCAGTCGATGCAAAGCGAATGTACGAGTAATATATTTCGATACGTAAAATACATCACAAATTGATGTATAATATTTTAACTATATTAGAGTTTATACCTATTTATTATTATTATTTACCTATTAGATATTCATATCTTAAAATATTGTCGGCTGGCACCGACTTCGAAAATATCTGATTAGGTATCTATTCTAAATGAAAACTCCCGTTTAGTAATTTTTTACATTTTAGTGCCTGGAAGTTGTGTTTTTTTAACTTTTCATTTTTTTGTGTAGACGTAATAAGCAGGTAATTTGTAAGAAGAAAGTTCTTTAATAACATATCTGACTAAGCAAGCAATTTATTTAAAAAAAAATATTTGTTATTTTTTAAAACACCGCTCGATTGCGATAAAATTTAAATGGGACCACCTGGAAAGTATACCCTTCGAATTAAAAAAAAACCAAATTGGTTTGGCGTCTTCGAGTAATCGGTGAACATATGTACATAAAAAAAGACTCCGACGAATTGAGAACCTCCTCCATTTTGGAAGTCGGTTAATAAAAAAATTATAAATTAAAAAAGAAAACTATTTTAATTTTAGACTTTTTCGCATAAGCTATTCATCATTTTTAAAGTGGTTGATCCGTGCTATAATAAAATAACGTATTTAGGTTAATTGTACATAAAGTACTTACTTATACGACATCTATTTGAAACAACTCTGAAGATCAAAAGAAAATTTATGAGCCACAATTCAGGAGCTACTTACTATGAAAATGCTTTTAATTAATTAGTTTTATATTACTCATGTATCGTTAGTTATTGACATATGTAGGTATATACATTAAAAAAAACAGATTTTATTTCAAATACAAATTATTAGGACTGTGACAAAAAGTATAAATGTATAAATACGAGTATAATAAAGTTGTAACTAATCCGAATCTGCACATTAAATATTTTTTGGAAAATCTTATTGAAATAAATATTGTCGATATTGAGGCCGAATCTATAGTTTTTAGAATTTTTGTCTGTCTGTCTGTTACCGCATCACAGAAAAACCACTGGAGGGATTTTGATGAAATTTGGTATGGTGATAGCTGGTTATCCGGGTCAACATATAGGATACTTTTTACCGCGGAAAAATATCTCATTTCTGAGAAAAAATACAAAAACTGCATTGTAAGAGTATACTAATATGTAAAAGCTAAGAATTTGATTTTTGGTAATCTAAACGCGGGCGGAGCTGCGGGCATTGTTAGTATACTAATATGACCTCATCTAGACGCGCAATAAACTGTATAGATGATACGCTTACGTAGATATTAATAAAACGATACGCGATTTTATTTTACCAATTAGCTACTGTTATCTTTTGCTTGTCACTTTATCAATGCAAATAGATATTTATAAATGTAGGAAAAGATAAAGATATAGTTATATTTAGTATCAAAAATCACGCCAATTCAAGGATATCGAATCTATTTGTTTTTTCTCTTTATTAGATTCACCAACAACTTTACATTTCATATATACACAAGATAAAATATTAAAGATACAAATCTAAAATTTAAAGCCACTTACAGGTAAAAACAACATGCATCATTTAAATATAATAATTAGACGGAAAAATACATAATTAGATTATACCTAATAATTATTTTTTTCTATAATGCCAAAGACAAAAAAAAACAATTAAATTATATGCTACAATTACTATTATAATTAAATTAGTGCTTAATTAGAATTATATATTTTACTTTACATAACAAGTGCCTGGGCGACCGAGCTTCGCTCGGAGTTCTTTTTTGTTCTATCGTTTATTTTAGATGATAATCTAGTTGTTAGCCAAAAGTAGTATTTTTATTTTTATTTGGCTTAAAAAAACTTGATTACATACAAAAAACAAAAGTAAAAACTTTGTATCCGACCGGGATTGGAATCTGTGATCGTCAATCTTGTGACTTGGCCGCTTGACCACGATGCTTATGCCCGAGCGCGCGAAATTAGCGACCATATTTTGTGCGGAATAATGCGACGAAAACCACATGAAAACTCGAAAACACGCGTTTTCCCCAGACATAAGACTGATCTAAATCGATTTTTCGCCCCCCCGAAAACTCTCACCTACCCAATTTTAGCGAAATCGTTAGAGCCGTTTCGGAGATCGCCGGTATATATAAATAAATATACAAGAATTGCTCGTTTAAAGGTATTAGATAGATATTAAAAGTTCATTAAGGAACACGCTTATAACGCTTTGCTAATGGCCACCTACGAGTACATACGGCAATAATATTATGGGTTTTTACTTTTAATAGCTTCAGTAGGTAACGTAACGCTAAGACGCACACGGCTTACCAACCCCAACCTTGTGGGCGGGGGTTGTATCATGCCGATTACTCCTGATACTTTTTTAATACCAAAGTGGTAAATAAGAACCACCTAGGGCGTCTCCATCCATGCGAGCTGTCGCGGCTCGCGGATGGACACGTAAAGTGATCCTGCGGGGTCCCATTAAGACAAAGAATCTTCCGTTGGGTTTGAGAGGGTAATGGCTGTTAGAGAATAGTAACCGGCTTTTCTAGCCGGTGAGTCTCCACGTAACCACTCGTTGTACAGGTGGTATGCGTAAACGGTAAACATATTTCCCAACGTTTCGTATATCAACCAGCGACTATCGCTTCGTTTTGGCTCTGTCCTGTACAAAAACCTATAAAACTTCTATTGCGGATGAAAACTTCGATCTGATCGTCTAAACTCTAAACGTGC